TGTCAAAGATCACGTCACTGTAACAATGTTAATTTTGATTATATTTTTTACAAAAAATTTTGATATTATTGATAGAAATTTTCTAACTTGCATCGTTCAGGGCAATCACATGTCAGTGACTTATTCATAAATTTCATTTTTATTGCATACCTACATTCGTCTGGAAATGATTCGAGAAACATGTTCGTTTGTAAAAAAATTGTATGAAGTAAACACAAACTTTTGCAGCAAGTCAACAAATAATTAGTTTGATATGATAATAATATAACAGTGATATGTTGTGATTAAATTTTATCCACTCAACCTTGTTCGAAGTTCCCAGACTGACACAAGCTCATGTTGTCGGCGTTGATATTCTCCATTAAGGCAGTTATATTAAGATAACTGAAATCTATGCATCCACACTCGTGCATAATTTTTTTTTGATAGCACGTGTACTCACAACCCTGGTTACGTAATCATTTGCACATCGCCATCATTTTTGGCGCCAAAAGTTTGTATTTATTAAAATTAATAATTTTTTAGTATTAAATTGTTATCAATAGAAAGTTTTTGAAAAAAAGATAATGGATAAAAATCACTTTGGCCCGATATTGAACGTTGTAGAATGCGGAATATGCACTGGTGAATGGGTCAAACAACTGTTCGGTGCAGCTGCCGTAAGGAGAGCCCAACCGATTTATCTCGTGCTTAGAGTTATCAATTTGATTGATCCATTTATTCATTAATAAATACAATCTTTAAGATTTTTAAAATAACCAGAGTCCCATGTCCTTCTTCTAATGAACGGGCTCAAATTTTAAAAGAATTTAATGTATACTACCCGTTGTAAACTGATGTAAGTTAATTGTCCAGGGCCAACTGAGACTCCCTCGTCTTCAGGAAACGGCATCTGATTCTGGTCGAGGATGACGACACGGATCCCTGCCAGACTTCCTGCTTGCTTCACGTAATCCATCTGATCGATATTCACAACCATCTCCAAACCTTTTGATGTTTCATATTAAATTGCTACAACTCTACCAATGTTTTTTCCGTATTTTTCATCAATTTTTATTCAATTTTTCAATAATAAATTTTCCAACCGTTTTTTGGACCTTCCCTGGTGGCCGTCACTATTTGTTTGGAATCGTTCCAACCAGAGTTATAAACATAACAGTTCCCGTGTAAGGGGTTGTAGAAACTTTCAAAATCACTGCTCACAAATTGTTTGAAGTATAATTGTAATACAAATAATGTCAACATTTTATTAATCCAAATATTAATCTTTTGAGTAAGAAAATTTTAATAATTTTAAAACAAATTGGATTGTTTTTTGCGGCACTAAGTTTGGCAAAATCAGTATTATTATTAGTTAATAATAAAATTGATTTTGGCACAGCATTTGTTTCTAATTTTAGATTTTTTAATGGCTTTAAAATAAATGTTGCCTTTGAACAAAGTGATGCCAATAATGATTTTTGGTTTTAGAAAAAAATCTTAGTCGAGATCATTAACAAAATTAAAATTAATATTGATAGATCTTGTAAAAATTTATTGTTATCCGTGGTCTAACATGGAACATTGATCGAATGTTGAGATAATTATAAAATTTCTAATTTGAAAACGTTTTCAATTTTACTCTCATTAATGTCTATTTATTTCAACAACTGAGACAAGACATGAACGAAAAGTCA